ATGGCGGGGCGGCCCATCAGGAGAGTCAGGCGTGTCGGTGCGCTGCGCAGGAAGGAGGAGGCCGAGGTAGGAGCCTCGGCGGCCCGCCGTCGGGCGCGGGCAAGGCGCCTCCTCGCGGCCGAGGCAGCAATCAGCAAGGCGGGCGAGGCGGCCCAGGTTCCTGGCAGGACCGTGAGGCTGCTGCGCGCCCTGCCATGCGCCTCGCCGCCGCGGGAGGTCGCGTCCCTGGCGGGGCGGAACGCCGCGTGGCACGCGCTGCTGGCCCACGCGGGCGGATTCGCGCGCGCGTCCGCAGCGGGCGTAGCGCGGGCCGCCGCAGGCCCCCGCCTGGGCTGGCTGCCCCCGCTCCCTGAGGCGGCCGCGGTGTCCTTCGGCGACTTTGAGGCTGCACCCGAGGAGCACTGCCAGGCTCTCGGTGCCGAGGACGAGGACCTCTGCGAGGGCAGGCTGGAGGACCTGAAGGGCATGCTCACGCGCAAGGTCGGCCTGGACCTGGACAAGGACGAGGGCCTCCGCGAGGGTAGGCTGGACGACATGAAGGGCCTGCACAAGCGCGAGGTCGGTCTGGACCTGGACGAGGACGGCAGCCTCTCCGAGGACAGGCTGGAGGACCTGGAGGCCGTGTACAGGCGCAAGTTCGGCCTGGACTTGGACAAAGGCGACGGCCTCCGCGAGGGCAGGCTGGAGGACCCGAAGATCCCGTTCATGCGCGAGTTCGGTCTGGACCTGGGCGCGGACGCGAGCCTCTGGTCACCCCCGGAGGGGTCGCCAGGGACGCTCCGGCAGAACCGACGCTGCCCGCGCCATTGGCGGAGCGGCGGAGCGTCGGGGAGGCCACCGAGGACGGCAACCCTCCCCTCCTGGAGGAACCTGGGCGAGGACGAGGGCCTCTTCGAGGGCAGGCTGGAGGACGCGAAGGGCCTGCACAAGCGAAAGTTCGGTCTGGACCTGGACGAGGACAAAAACCTCTGCGAGGACAAGCTGGATGAGGACCTGAAGGGCATGCACAAGCGCAAGTTCAGCCTGGACCTGGTCGGGGAGGACGGGCTTGAGGACCCGAAGGGCAGGCTCAAGCGCAAGCTCGGCCGGGACTCGGACGAGGTCCTCTGCGAGGACAGGCTGGACGACATGAAGGGCCTGCGCAAGCGCGAGGTCGGTCTGGACCAGGACGAGAACGAGTGCCTCTCCGAGAACAGGCTGGAGGACTTGACGGGCATGCAGAAGCGCAGGTTCAGCTTGGCCCTGGTCGGGGACGAGTGCCTCGAGGGCAGACTGGTGGACCCGAAGGGCCCGCGCATGCGCGAGTTCGGCCTGGACCTGGGCGCGGACGTCGGCCTCTGCGAGGACGGGCTGGAGGACCTGAAGGGCCTGCGCACGCGCAAGTTCGGTCTGGACCTGGACGAGGACGAGAGCCTCTGCGAGGACATGCTGGATGACCTGAAGGGCATGCGCAAGCACAAGTTCGGTTTGGACCTGGTCGAGGAAGAGGGCCTCTGCGAGGGCAGGCGGGAAGATCTCAAGGAACCGTACAAGCGCGAGCGCGACCTGGAACCGGGCGAGGACGTGGGCCTCTGCTTCCTGTCTGCAGACGAGCTCCTGGAGGCGGGGGCCGCCTCCCGCATCGCACTCGCGGCGGCCAGCATCCTCCTGGGGGTCCCACTCGAGGCCCCTCAGGCCTTAGACGACCCTGAGCTCGCCTGATTTCTCTGGCAGCGCTTGCTGCGTACCAGCCCGCGGGCGTCGTGGGCTGAGTCGCCGTGACTGTTCGGATGTCGCATCTTGCTTGCTTCGGCTGGGGCGAGGGGCGGCCTTTCGGCACTCAGGCGAATCTGCGAGGGTACCTTGGGCACGAGACTGAGCGTTGCCTCCGCAGGGCCAAAGGGAAACGCGTCGGTCCGAGGGGCAATCCGAGAGGGGAACTCCTGACCCCTTCAGCCGCGTGGATCATCATCATCATCATCATCATCATCATCATCATCATCATCATCATCATCATCATCATCATCATCATCATCATCATCATCATCATCATCATCATCATCATCATCATCATCATCATCATCATCATCATCATCATCATCATCATCTTCATCATCATCATCATCATCATCATCATCAGCAGCATCCATCAGCATCATCATCATCAGCATCATCAGCAGCAGCATCATCATCACGATCATCATCAGCAGCAGCAGCATCAGCATCAGCAACATCATCAGCAGCAGCATCAGCAGCAGCAGCAACCGCATCATCATCAGCAGCAGCATCATCATAATCAACATCATCAGCGCAATCAGCATCAGTATCATCATCATCATCAGCAGCATCATCCTAGTCGTCATCATCAGCAGCATAATCATCAACATCGCCAGCATCCTCATCGTCATTCATCATCATCAACAACATCCACATCATCATCACCATCATCATCATAATCAGCAGCATCCTCACTAACAGCATCATCATCGTCATCATCCTCATCATCAGCATCATCCTCATCATCATCATCATCATCATCATCATCTGCATCATCATCATCAGCTTTATCCTCAACATTATGATCATCATCATCGTTATCATCATTATCAGCATCACCATGATCATCCTCATCGTCATCATCATCATCAGCAGCATCATCATCTGCAGCATCATAAACATCATCCTCACCATCAGCATCATCCTCATCATCATCACCACCATCATCATCAGCATCATCATCAGCATCGTCATCATCCCCATCAGCTTCATCATCATCATCATCATCATCATGATCATGATCATCATCAGCTTCCTTAGCATCATCATCATCATCATCATCATCATCATCATCATCATCATCATCATCATCATCATCATCATCTGCATCATCATCAGCAGCATAATCCTCGTCATTATCCTCATCATCATCAGCATCATCATCAGTATCAACCTCATCAGCATCCTCATGTCATCATCGTCATCCTCATTATCACCCTCATCATCCTCATCATCATCATCATCATCATCATCATCATCATCATCATCATCATCATCATCATCATCATCATCATCATCATCCATCATCATCATCCTCATCATCCTCATCATCATCATCATCATCCTCATCATCAGCCTCGGGGCCCGAGCTTCACGATTCGACGACCTATCGACCCTGAGGGCGTTGGCGCGAGAGCGGCGGCCGCGCTCCCCTCGCGCTCTCTCGAGCCGCGGGTCGCTCGAGCGCCCCGAGGCGTCGAGCCTCGGCCGTCGCGAACCTCCCTGGGGACGCCGGAGAAGGGGACGCACAACATTGGTGGGCTTGTTTCCCACCGCCGCCACCATGAGTAGGAGAGGGAGGAGGTCCTCCTCCTCCTCTTCCTCCTCCTCCCCCACCTCCTCCTCCTCCTCCTCCTCCTCCTCCTCCTCCTCCTCCTCCTCCTCTTCCTCCTCGTCATCGTCCTCCACCTCCTTCCCCCCTCCAACTTTTGGTGGTGGTGGTGGAAAGCAGGCCCATCGAACATGGGGACGATTCCCCGCAGCTTTGTCCCATCCTCAGACCCCCTCGACTCGTGAAAAAAAACCAACGGGATTTTTTTCGCTATTTTCCGCCTCTGGCGGCTCTCCCCAGGCCTCGGGACCGTCCAACAACGACGCAGGATGAGAAGCCGGTCCCGGGTAATGGGTCCGGACCCCTGGGGGTCGCGTCACGAAAAAAAACATGACGTCGGGAGTCTGGGTCGCAGCGTGGCAGAGGCAGTCCGCACAAGCGCTCAGCAAGCGAGGCGACGGCATTGCGAACTGCCCGGATGCAAAAGGGAAGAGAGAGAGAAGAGGGGCGGCCGCGGGAGGATGGAAGGGGACTAAGTAGCGCGCTCACGCAGCGGGGACCGCAGCGGGGCGCTCGGGGAGGCCAAACCGGTGCTGCATCCCAAACGATGCCCAACAGATGTCGTCCAAAACAGGCACTGGCCGCTGGTGGGCAGGTGACGTCTGCCCCGAAATTGGCAACGCCCGCAGCGACCCAACAGCGAATGCTGTCAGCCGGTCTTCGTCACAATTCTTTCCGACGAAAGTTCGCTGACACCGCCCAGGACCTCCGACGTCGCGATGTTGTTCACAACGTGGCGCCCAGGAAGTCTGGACCAGCCAGGGTCACCCGCTCTTGATCCCGAGTCAAGGCCCCCCAGAGGCCCGGAGGCAGAGAATTGACAGAAGCCTTGCGTCCTCTGCTTTTGACTACAGTGCGGGCGCGACCGCAAGAAACCCTCGCAAGAAACCCAACCCTGAGAACCCGTGCGCGAGGTGCATCCGAGGGGAAACCTGGAGCACCCTGAACGCAGCAGCTCCTTCAACGGCTGCGGGAAGTCACCGCGCAGCGCGAGGAGCGAAGAGGCCAGGATACCCTCACGAACAGCATATGGTTTCTTGATCCGCGCCCCTTCTGTACGCGAGGGAATGGTTGCTTTCGGGCCCTCCAGCGGCCGCTCAGGACGAGCTGGGCACCCCCCGAGCGCCCCTGGCGAGGCGCAGCGGCAGGAGAGCACCCCGAGGCTGGAGAACCTCCAGTCGGGGAAACGCAAGACTCGGGTACGGGGGACTCGAGCTGGCCTGACATGGGACGCACAGAGACATGCTAATACTAGATGGTCTCCTTGGAGGCGCGCGTCCGACCAGAACATACAGTACACCCATCTTGTAGCATATCGTTTCCCGAGCGGTGTGGCCAGAAAGCGCCCGCCCCGACGCACATACTGTAAGAATTCTCGATGCGCGCGTCGCCCCTGGGGGGGCGACGCACATGTAGCATAAACATGTTGGGGTGACGCCGATGACAGGGCCATCACAAAACATGGCGAGACCAAATCTGAAATTTGACGCGAGCTCCCGCTGCAAGCAGCATCCCACGAAGACTGGAGCGTCAAAATCGAGGACGCGCTCGTAAAAAAGATCGGCAAAACCGAGTTCTGGCTTACTCGAGTCTTACATTTCCCCGACCCGAGGCTGGAAAACCGCCAAGAAATGACGAAAACGTACCAGAGCCCTCTGTCGTGAATTCTCCATCGCATCGAAGCTTGAGGCGACGGCAATCTGAGCACCCGTAAGCCCCGACCCTTGCCCAGGGCCGGCTTCTCATCTCGAGCACGGTCTTGGCGGCCCTGGAGTCCAAAGACACCCCCCGAGGCCGAGGGCTGCGCCAACAGTCCGCCCCGATGCCTCAAAATCTTGACAGACCTGCGTCTGCCCACGCGCTGATGGATCCGGGAGTCCAGTGGGGAAGCCTCGGTGGGCATGGCAGACTCGTGGGGCGCCATGGCTCCGGCTTGCGGCATGCCGCTCGCAGAGGTCGGTGCGGCGTCGGATGCTTGTCTGTTGCTGCCCCTTCCGCGCGCAAGTGGAGCTTGCGCTGCGCATGGTCGCACAAGTCGGGGCCGCGCAAACATGGATTGGCGATCCATGGATTTGGCGCGCGGTCGCCAAATCCATGGATCGAGGGAGGCACCCTCCCCACCATGCGGCCGGTGCCGCCTCGCTCGGCGGCGGAAATCCGCGATGTCCCATGGAAACGGGACCCGTCGCTGATCCACGCCCCCTTGATCCATGTTTGCGATCGCCTGAGTGGTCGACGAACTCCCACCCCCATCCCCCCGCCGACCCTCGAGCTGCCTGAGTCGTCGATCGGCGAGGGTCGGGTTCGGATTTCGCCGCCGAGCAGGGACAATGGGGCACACTCAAAATGCAAGCAGACTCGGGAGTCTGGGTACTTCGCTACCGCGGCTATGTTGGGTCCCTGGGAGCTCCCCCCCCCCCCACGACCTCGAGGCGACCGCCACTTTTCTGGGCACGCCGCCTGGCCCCGCGGCGGGCCCGCTCTCCTGGCTCTTGCGGCGGTGTCTGACGGCCTCGCGGCCTGCTGAGGGCCCCAGGTGGCTGAAGATTTGCCAAAAAGCTTCCGCCGCGATTTTGTTCACGACGCGAGGAGGTCAGGGGAGAAGAAGGAGGAGGAGGAAGAGGAGGAGGACCAGTGCAATTCCAAAACGCATCAACGATGTTGCAATGAACCCTACCACCAAATTCCCCCTTCATGGGTCTCTACAAAAAGTAATGTTCATTGCTGCCAAAGGTATTATGAAAAACATTCACCCCAAGAATTCCAAAAAAAGGAATGACTTCACTTTCCCGGGTTCAAAGCATGGAGATGTCTCGCCAGGACCAGAAAATAGATTATCCCGGCAAAGCAACCTAACAGCGATGTGTAGGAGCATATCTGGAAGCATTCCTCTTAAGATTCAGATGAGAATCCAGTTGTAGAATTATGCTGTTCTCGCAGTCGTAGTCGCATTCGCGATGACAGTCGAAGTGGCAACAGCAGTCGCAGTCACAGCCTCAGCCTCAGCCTGCCTCAGCCTCAGCCTGCCTCAGCCTCAGCCTCAGCCTGCTTCAGCCTCAGCATCGGTCTGCCTTCAGCCTCGGCCTCAGCCTCAGCCTGCCTCCGCCTCACCCCGCATCAGTCCCCTACAGGGAGCTGCCGCCACCCAGCCTCAGCTCAGCCTGCTCTGCCTCAGCCTCAGCCTGCTTCAGCCTCAGCCTCAGTCTGCCGTCGGCCTCGGCCTCAGCCTCAGCCTGCCTCAGCCTCAGCCTGCATCAGCCTCAGCCTCAGCCTCAGCCTGCCTCAGCATCAGCATCAGCCTCAGCCTCAGTCTCGGCCTCAGCCTCAGCCTCAG